TTTTTTTTTTCACTTTTTTGTTTGGGCGTTGGTAGGCTAGTGTGAAAATTTTCTGGTCATCTTGACTGTCCTTAGATTTACACCTTTGCAGAAGAACATGTGAAAGCCATGAGTAGACTCTTTTCTCCTTTAGAAAATATAATAAATTTTAAAAAATAATTAAATTAATAAAATATTCTACTTTTCATCATATTGCATGTGATGTAGGATAATTTTTGTTGGCCATTTATTTGGTTACTATCTATTCTCTCTTTGCCATTGATTTAGAAAAAACTGCTAATCAACTTCCCTTTTGTACCTACTAGTAAGGTGCACGTGCTTCGCACGTGAATCATATAATGTCTAATGAAATTTGCGTGGCCTTAAGTTGATTTGTGAAAAATATGTTATTTATGATATATATTTTAAGTTAAATATAAGTATATATAAGTAAAAAAATTGCTAGGATCATACATATATACTTATTATGAGAAACAAATTGCTAAGGGCGTGATTATATATGAGTTATAACCGGTCTTAATCGGTTATCTTAATCGGTTATAATCGATTGAGTTATTTCATATCCAATCATCTAACTCAAAAGAAAACCCAACTTAACTCTCCTACTTATTATAAATAAAAACAATCATTCTCATACATCACATCAATTTTTATTTACTATTCATCTACTAACATAATTTTAATCACCTATCACTTTCGGTAATCTTTCTCCTACTTTTACATCACATCAAATTTAATCATATTTTAGATATTATTTAATTCCAAACTCAAAATCATCCACTCTATATACTTTATTCAAATTAACTCATTTTAACTAATTTTAGCCAAACAAAATTGGTCAAAACTGGTTGGATTTATATCCAATCGTGCCTTAAGAAGCTCAACAAATATTCATTTTGGAAGTTTGAGGACAATCAAATGTTAATTAACCAAATGTTTCAAGTAAAATTGAATAGAAATTGAAAACACGTACATAAATACTAACATAAATGTGGAATAATTTTATTTGTACTAACACATTGTCAAAAATCATGAAGTTTTAAATTTTTAATTGAAAATGATATGTTGCCTAAAAAGTTATTGTAATACTAATAGAAGAATGGGTTATATCTATTAGCATTTATATTGTAATTTTAATTTAAAATTTTTACCTATCGTCTTTAACATGTTACTTATTAATCATCTTAATCTATGTCTTAGTAAACATTAAATATAACAATTTGAATTAGGTATATTCACTTTTATCTAAGAGTACAGAATAAGTATTGAACTCGATACAAAATAAATGCATACTACAAAAAGTACAATGAAGTTTGACATATTAACGTAAAGATAAGTAAAAAATAATTATATGGATGAAATTCTTATATTTAATATAAAAATTAAATGATGTAGGTTATTACCGAAAAAATCATAATAAAGCGTGATTGTCTTTATAGAAAATATTTATATGTGTCTTCATTGAGAAATATGATTTAACAGTTGTCCACGTTGATACCTAAATATGGAAATTAGAAATGTCATCTGATCTGATTCTTCCAAAATTATAGATGAAATAAGTTTGATTAACTGTGAAAGAAAAAAAGGTGGATAGTTCGTTTTGTTTGCATTAATTGATACCAACCATTACCCTTAATTATGTTTATTTCATATTAAATTTTGTCAAGTAAATTGTTGAATA